TATTTTTTTATTTTTCTGTAACTATGAGATTATAAATTTGTCTAATATATCAACTGAAATGTAATAAATTATTAAAAAAAAATTATGATATTTAAAATTAAATAATCTCAAACTACAAAAAATTAAATTAAAATTTCTCTATTTTTCATAAAAATTAATATAAATAAAAACAACATAATAATTTGGGCCACAACAAAGGTATTATTATCACACCTCTTGTCAACAAGGTTTATTAAAATCACTAGGGACCCAATGCCTAGCATAATGTACATGGGATGAGATCTTAAATCTCAACATTACAACCTCATCGATCAATTTGACTATAATTCTACTAACTTTTTCGAACAATTGTTATCCAAGTAAAATACATTGCATCATATTCCTCTTATTAGGAAAGAGGTCAAGGACATTTTATGGTTCATAGAAGCTACCAACGAATATTATGAAAGTTGTTGTAGGACATTATAGACAGACTCACGAGGTTAAACTTTACACTTGTTGTTAAATTCTACAAACATCCTCCTACCATTGCTCTCGTAATTCCTCCATAATCGGATCATGCTCATGGCAACAAAAATAATGAGATAGATCAATATTTTATTCTTTTATGTAACATTGACATTATATAAATATTAATTTTATTTACATTTTTTATTATTGTGTTAAAATCAACAAGTAATAATATTTATTTATTTTATAATTTTAACAAATTTTAATTATTAAAACATATATTTTGCATACAAAGACATACTTAGTAACAAGAAAATACACCATTATTAATACTTTTTGAAAAATAAATTAGAAAAAAGTATAAATAAATTTAGCGATAGAACTGAGACTATAGTAACTATAATTTATTAATAAATCCGTTTATGATATTTCACAAGCATCAATGTATATTTATGATAAATTACAATTTGTTGCTCACTAAATATGTAATTGACTTTGCTGTTAGTGTCATCACTATTTTTAAGCGTCAACTACGAAATTTAGTAGCAGACTAAAGATTGTTCTCCTAGATCAGTTATTCATAAATTCAAAAAAGATTGAATTTGATCTACCTCAAGGTTAGATAAGAATGAAATCCATCGTGGAATAGTTTCTAAAATTATCATTACTTACAGGAAGTTTTCACTCGCTATTTTTAACTCTTCGTCAGTCGTCTTCTTTCTCTACATGAAGTGAAGCATGTTACTTTTTTTTAAAAAAAGTAATTTTCTTATGAACGATGATAGGTTTAATAAAACATACTATTATTCTTCTTTGAACTCTAACAAATTTTCTTGATAACTAAATTTATCAAATAATATTTTTGCTATAGTGATTTCCTTAAAATTTATGGAAAATAATGAAATAAAATTAAAGTATAAAAAACAGTGAGAATTAATTGTAAGAAAGATCCAATATTACATTAGTAATTAATTTATTTTCAATGTTGTCAAATTAGGTTTATTTTGCAATTAATTGTATATAGTAGTATGATATATAATTAGATGGCTCTTAATTACTGTCATGTAGTACACGTAATTAAAATTCACAAATCAATTATGTGAAATATGAGATGTATAATCCAATTAAATTGTATTATATGGGATAGAATTATGACTTGATTATGCATATTATAATCAAATTGATTTAGATTTAACTAATCTAAAATTTAGTTGAAGTCCTTGAGAACATAATAAGTTATGTGATGTAGAATTATTATAAATTTGATACTCCAATATTAACTGAAAATTATTTTTAACCAATTTTACACTAAATTTCTAGAGAAATTTCAATCAAACATATGTCCAACTTAGGGTTTTTAATTTTAATATCTTTCAAGATACATAAACGTTTATACTAGTATATGTTCTTTGTGATTAAATAAACTATTTATTGTTTTCATGCCGAACACATATTAGATGTCTAAATCATACACTTGCTATGTCTAAATTTTTAATGTTGATTAAATATTTATGTGTTATATGCAATGTGAATAAATTTTTAATTTCTTTATTCATGAAATGGTCATTTTCATCATGTTTACTTACATTTACATGTAATGTGTAATCTATAATACTTAACGTAATCAATTTTCATCATGAGATATTGAGCTTATAGAAAATATCCATACGACAAAAGAATTTTGTTGATATAACTTGACAAGTGACATTAAGAAGTATAACATGTCCAACAGAAGGAGGTGGATGTATAACATGTCCAACAGAAAGAGGTGGAGGTCCTTTCTTCGTTGATAAGAATACTAAAATATGTGTATACTCCTTATTTTTTCAAAATTTAAAATCGTTTTAAAAAAATATATAAAACTTTCAGAAGTGATAGCCAACTAAATGATATCATCAAGCCTAATCGTAGACACAAAGAGTACATGCTTGAGGCATGTGAAGAAACCTTAATTAAGATTTAAAATTATAAGTAGATAGTGAACTTGACAACAAATACTAATAATATCATATTCTAAGAGAAAAAAATAGTTTGAGGAATATGAAATTAGAGAAAGTTGAGGTCTAAAACTCAAAGGGCCAAAAGAAAACATGGCAAATACACGTCACTCACTATAGGGGCATAACATTGTTAAGGCAACATGTTTAGATGTTGGCATATGTAGTAGAAAGAAGAAGAAAAAAGAGTTAAAAGCTTGTATAGGCCTAAAAAGGCGAAATTCTTGAAAGAGTAAAAACTTAGAAAGACAAAAGACAAGATTTGAGAAAGCTTAACACAAAAATTAAGAAAAGAAAAATTGATCTAAATTGTTAAGATTGTTTAGGCAATTCCAAAACCTAAACCCTATGACCAAATTAAAGAGGTATCTTGGGAGGATCTTAAAGGGATTTTGGTAATGAAACTCTACCAATTAAAAGATATTAAGGGGGGGAAAAACTTTTTGTACTTGACTACTTGAGCTTGTATTTGAAGAGATCTCAATCTTGCTCGTTTTTAGCTTAGGAGAAACTTTCTCCCTTGAGCATGATAGAATTTGTTTGTACTTCCAAAAATGTAAAAATGTAAAACAATTAGAGTCACATTGTTTAAAAATAATACTAAACATGAATGTTATATATAGAATACCAAAAAATATCTATAATAATTATCAATTTGATGGTTAATATTAAAAGTGGACATATTATCTTCTAAAAATTTGAGGTTCTTCATTGTTGTATTTGCTAAGAATTAAAATTAAGGATGAAAATGCTTGAAGGAGGAAGGAAATATTACTAGTTGAGCTAGTTTTGACAAAAATGGTGTAAATAGTGTTAAATCACTCAAATAGGTGGACTAACAATGACAATAACACTTACGATTTTAAAATGTATGAGAGTAATTAAGATGAAAGTTGCTGACTGAAAATATTCAAGAATTTAAAAGATTGATATGAACACGTAACTGACAATAGAAATTAAATTTTTAAATAAGAAAATAATGAGATTATGATTAATAGTAAAGACTAATGAAAACATTTATAGATAGATATTTTAATAAGTTTAGTAAGCTCTTATAAATGATATATATATATGTAAAATTTTATTATTTAATTATTAAATTTAATTATTGAGTTAGGGTACAAACTCGAATGAGAAATCCCATTCTTAATTGTTTTAAATAAATTTTTTTTGTAACTCTATTTTTATTATAGGTCAAGTATTATATCTTGTTTCTAACAAAAATTTTTCAGCCAAATGATGGTTAAATTGTTCATGTCCACCAACATACTTAAACAAAAACATGTTAGTTTATGAGAGAGAGAGATATATATATATATATATTTTAAAAAAAAAAGTGAGAGAAAAGAGAGGCGGAGAATAATTTTATATGGAAGGAGATTTGTATTTTGGAAAGTGAGATGAGTTTCCCTTTTGAAGAAATGGATCGGGGGGAACCTAATGGCTTTCACAATGCCTTTGGCCGATTCCAGATTTGTGTTTCAAGTTTCTGTTTTCTCACTACACACATTTCTATACATTCAAGTAGTTTCCTATTTTTATAAAAATCATTAACCAATTCAGGGGGAAAGGAAACAATTGTAGTAGTTAGAAAACGACTGCGTTTAGAGCATGCGGTTGATGCCTGGAACCATGTATACCCACTGGCGAGGCATGACTCAGAAATAATTCCAAGTGGGAAAACCAGATAAAAGAAAAATCCCCCCCACCCTTGAAGAAAAGGGGTTGGGGAGAAAATAAAAAGAAAAATTAAAAAGAAAGAAAGCGAAATGTGAGAGAGAGAGAGAGAGACAGTAGCAGCAACACCTTAGTGATGGCGTGATCACTTTTGCTTTTTCTCTCGACAGGAATCTTTGAAAATCCAAAGCATTTCCTAAAAATTCAAAAAAAAAAAAAAAAAAAAAAAGATTATGAAAAATTATGAATATAAGAAGGTGTTTTACTTTTCTCTTATATATATATATATATATATATATAAATCTACGAAAAGCATACAAGTCCGGAACGTACATAATGTCAGTACTTATAATTTCTCCTCCAAATTTCTTGCAACATTAATTAAAATGAAATTACTTCATTAATATCCATTTTCTAAAATTATTTCCTTAATTTCTTTATCATTTTGTTGTGATGATCTCCAAAACGACGATTACCGGACCTAAAAACGGCATTGATGTCCCAAACGACGATTGCCGGACCTAAAAACGGCATGATTGTGAACGGACGCAATTATCTATACGGAGCGCCAAGCGAACGTGGGAACAGGAAAGACTTCAGAGCAGTAGGGACAAAATAGTAATTCTGTACGAGAGTGCTCCTATAGAGATTGGGGGGACAATAGTAAAAACCAAAAAGCACGAGTGCACAACCGAAAAGGAAAATAAAGCTTACGAGGGGGAGACACATAACACAGTTGAGTGTTTGTGTGGGGCACTCCCTATTTTCTTTTTATTTTTTTATTTTTTATTTTTTATTTTTGGTTTTTTCACTTTTTTTTTTCTTTTTAATTTTCTTTTCCGTTGTTCCCATCATTTTTTTTTTCTCTCTCTCCAGTCTTCTTCCTTCTCTCTGTGTCTGTCTCCCTCTCTCTCTCTCTCTCTCTCTCTCTCTGTGTCCGTTGGAACCAAACAGTTGTAGCTTGAGCATTCTTCTCTTTCACTCACTAAAAGCGCAGTAATAATATGAGCAGAGTGCGCATCACACACCATTACCGGTTATGAATCCCAGCACCGAGCCACCGGCATTACTACCACCACAAGCAGTAGCATTAGCGCCACCGCCTCAGCCGCCTCAGCCTCATAGGCCTTCTACCTCCTGTGACAGACACCCAGAAGAGCATTTCACGGGCTTCTGCCCCTCATGCCTCTGCGAGCGACTTGCTGTCTTGGATCACAACTCCTCTGCTTCTTCCTCCTCCTCTCGCAAGCCTCCCCTCTCCGCCGCCGCCCTTAAGGCTATTTTCAAGCCTTCCTCCTCATCTGCTGCCTCCAACGCCTTCCCTTCCAACCCCAACAACCGCTCCAGGCCTACATTCTTCCCGGAGCTCCGTCGGACCAAATCCTTTTCTGCTTCCAAGAACGAGGGTTTCTCCGGTGTTTTTGAGCCCCAGAGGAAGTCTTGCGACGTTAGGGTTCGCAATACGCTTTGGTCCTTGTTCAACCAGGACGACGAGCGCAACCCTTACAAGAAGGAAGCCAAGGGTGGAGGACCTGTTGGTGCTAGTGTTGGTGTTGCTGCTGCTGCAGGTGGTGAAATTGAGGCCGACGCCAGGAATTTGGGGTCCTCGTCTAGAGTTCAGGTTCCTGTTATTGAGTCCAAAGAGGATAGAGAGACAGAGAGCGAAAGCGACCTAGATGATGGTGATTTTGAGATTTTGAATGAACCCATTGCCGCGGCTGCCAACGTAATCGAAGACAAAGTTCAAGAAATTGTGGAGGAAGAGGAGGAGGAGGAGGAGGAAGAGGAGGAAGAGGAAGAAGAAGAAGAAAGAGAAGGAGACGAAGGAGTACAAGTACGAGAAGAGGATTTGAAGCCCATGAAGGACCACATAGATCTCGATTCGCAGACTAAGAAGCCTTCAGGTAGGGATTTCAAGGAGATTGCGGGAAGTTTCTGGTCCGCCGCTTCAGTATTCAGCAAGAAATTGCAGAAATGGAGGCAGAAGCAGAAGCTGAAGAAACGCAGAAATGGTGGCGGTTCTGCTACATTGCCCGTGGAGAAGCCAATTGGGAGGCAATACAGGGAAACTCAGTCAGAGATTGCGGATTACGGCTTCGGCAGAAGATCCTGCGACACGGATCCTAGGTTCTCGCTTGACGCAGGCAGGATTTCTTTCGATGATCCTAGGTACTCATTCGATGAGCCTCGGGCTTCATGGGATGGTTACCTAATCGGAAGAACGTTCCCGCGAATGCCAACGATGTTATCGGTCGTGGAAGATGCCCCCGTTCAAGTGTCGAGGTCTGATGCTCAAATCCCAGTTGAGGAGCCAATGAATTCCATCAATGAGGACGGGGCTGTCCCTGGTGGGTCTGCTCAAACAAGGGATTACTACTCAGATTCTTCCTCTCGGCGGAGAAAGAGCTTCGAGCGGTCAAACTCCTTAAGGAAGACCGCAGCCGCTGTGGTGGCTGAGATGGACGAGATAAAATCTGTTTCCAATGCGAAGGTGTCCCCTGCAACGGTCGACTACGTTAATGGATCTAAACTGGTCGTTCCAGACAGAGATTTAGGAGATTCAAACTCGAACTCATTGAGAGACGATTACTCAGAGACTTTTGACATGGGTTTCAGGGATAACGCATCGATCATTGGCAGTGGCGAGAGGAAGGGGCCCAAGAAGTCAAGCCGGTGGAGCAAAGCTTGGAACATTTGGGCGTTGATATACCGGAGAAGTGTCAACAAAGACGAGGAAGAAGACAGGTTTAGCAGACCAAACGGCGTGGAGAGGTCATTGTCGGAATCTTGGCCGGAGTTGCGAGGGGAACGCAATGGGGACCTCAAACCAGGATTCAATCCAAAGATGTTGCGTAGCAATAGCAGTGTGAGCTGGAGGAACTCCAGCAGCTTCGGAGGGCCTGTAATGGGTGGAAGGAAGAGCAATGTGGAGACAACTACAAATGGTAAAAAGAGGAGGGAAGAGTTTGTGTTGGAGAGGAACAGGAGCGCCAGATACTCGCCGCCCAACATCGACAATGGACTGTTGAGATTCTACTTAACGCCGATGAGAGGTAGCCGGAGAAGTGGGTCAGGCAAGAGTAGTGGTAGATCCAATCAAGCACAGTCCATAGCCAGGAGCATACTGCGATTGTACTGAAATTTGGGAGGTTACAAGGTGTTTATTTTTGTTTTTCTTCTCTTTTGTTCTTTTTTTTACTGTGGTTAATTTTGCTGCATTTGTTGTGTAAGCACACACATCTGCCTATGTATTCTTGATGGATAAAAAGCACCCTGAATTTGTTTACCTTTCCATTTTGAGTGGCATGCTTCTTCTTCTTCCTTAAATTATTCAAATAACCAAAAAAAAAAAAAAAAGAATTCTGTTCTGTGTTTTCTTGTCTCTAATCAAGATTCAACACTTTTGTTAATGGTGGTAGCTTCAATATTTGGCTTCATATGCTATCTTCTCATTTGTTGCCCAAAAAAGTCAACAACATACAAGTATATAGATATGGTATATGGGTTGATTTTAAATTGTCTTGTATTATTGTCCTACACAGATCTTATAGCTGAAACCCTACTTGTTTGGCTTCTTGTATATTCTTATTCTTGCAAATGAAAAGCATAGATGATGATTGATGTGGGCTCCTGGTCTTTCCTCTTTGTCCTCTGCTAATACTAGGGGGGGAGTATGGAGACAAAAGAAAACACACCCAACATCCATTCGTGGGCATCAGTCATTACTTCCAGTAGCAGTAGAAATAATTTACAGTGTCAATATTTGGTTTTATCAAACTGTAGAATTAAATTTTACATTATTTCTGACTGTAGAGATTCCAGAATACTTGGTTTTAGTGTTTATGTTTTGGTGGCCATGAGTTCACTGAAATGCAACAAGTGATGAGATAAATGAAATAGGAAGTTTTGCAGGAGCGGCAGCAGGGGCAGCCTCTGGCCTCTGCAAATAAAGAAGACGACATTGAAGAGTTGGATTGGATAGAATAGAGCGTCTCTTTATCGGGTTCCTCCCCTCAACCTGTTTTTCTCAGGGCCTTGTCTAAGTTGGACAGAGATGGGAGAGTGAATACAATGTACGGTGTAAATATATACGCCACTAATGAATTCTAAATTCATGTAACTCATATACAGTGGTATATATCTATGAGTTTGATTTTGATTTTAAGTTAAAGAATATAACATGATGAATCCCACGATATGATATTACTACTATTATTATCATCATTATTATTATTAATGCATCATTAATCATGTTATTAAAAGATTAATTATTAGATAGAATTTTTGTTTAATTAAAAAAAAAAAAAAAAAAAACTGTTTATTTCAGTATTTTCTCTTTTCAGTTGAATTAATTTTTGGGCATGATGAATTAATTAAGAAAATCAGAGAAGTAAATCATGTGGAGAATCTAATTAGCATAAACCTAAATTGCATTAACAATGACCTGACGGAAATCAAGCTGAGAAAGGTTTGGATCATTTTGTCCAAATGTAAAAAGCTCCACCATCAAAAAGTCAAAAGTGATCAAAGAAATGTAATTAGAGAGAGGCTCATCATCCCATGGCATGTGATTTGAAGTGTGGTTAGTACCTTAATTAATTAGTTAATTAATTGATTTAATATAAGATAACTGCGAGTTTACTTGTCAACGGTTGCTTACTCCCAAGTCGTAATCTCTTTCTCTATGCTAACACATGCACTTTAAAAAATTAACCGAACATGTTTTTTTTTGACCCAACTAAAAATTTATTTATATATTTACATGTATTTTAATTAAAAATATAATTTTTGATATATTTTATGAAATTTGTGATATATTATTTCAAATTCACATAAATTTTTCATAAAAATTCAAATATTATCTTTTTAGAAAAATAAATATATATTTATAAATAAATTCTATAAAAAATTTGAAGTTATAACAAATATTAAGTGGGAAATTTTCTTGTGCTTTCATATGGACATGGGAGCGGATTACCAAGAGGCCTAAACAAGCAAAATGGGCTGGCCCCAACTTTGGAATTCAGACTCTATGGCAGTTTTATTGGGTAAATTATTAGAATATGGCTGAAGTTATTGTTAATTAATAAATAAATATATATATTGACTATATTTTAGAAATATAAACATATAAAAAGACACATAATGTGTCAAGTTAGATAATTTAAATTTATCGAAATTCAATTTTCTATATGACTAAAATTTTTAATTTTATAATTTTTATAACATAAGCTATTGATGAACACTAGAATTGCATGATTTATTTCAGAATTGAGATAGTTTTTAATATCTAGAGGTACAAAAACTTCCACATGTCATGTTTAAAAAAATTTAGGCTCTTAATCTTCATATTACAATTATTTTAATTAATTTTTACTTTTAAGTTATAATTATATGTTAAGTATATAAGTATACAAGAATTATTTCTCGGTCTGGTACCTATTAAAAAAAATTAAATCAATAGAGTTATTTTCTTGAAATAATGAACTTCGTTTTGTCATAGACGAATTTATAATGTTAAAGTTTATAAATTGCAAGATATTATAATTAAAAATTGGTCGATATATATTTTTTAGTGAATAATGAATTTAGGTGATAATATAGATTAGCATAATCTTGTATTAAAACTATATGGAGCTTGATTATATCTAATGAGCTATTTGGATACTTGTCTCATGCCATTGGAAGTCATAGTATAAGTTTCTTGTTAGCATTCAAAAATTTTATTTTGACTTTTTAGATATTTCTTTGATGATATCAATAAATAAAATTTCAAAAGAAATTTTACATATTTGGTGAAAAATCTTGTATTTTTTTTTTTATTATAAGTGGATCCTCATTATATATTCTCGTATTTTGTGATATTATAAACTTATAAAATTATTTTGTCTTATTTTATGACATATTTCACTTTCAATAATTTGTTAAGCTATGAGTTCATGTCATTTCTTTTTAGTAAATTTTGAAAACTAAATTGCACATAAAAAACTCTCATGCGTGAGTAACTAAAAAATTTTGAATCGAAAACTTAGTAGCTTATTAACTTTATTTTTAGATTTGGGTTTCAAATTATTTTTGTTTAAGGAATTTAATTCCTTGAAATTTGGAGTTGAGTGACATTTAAAAAATTTAATATTTATTTAAAAATTTGAGGTATATATTTGTCTTTATTCGGAGGTTTTTATTAGATTTTATATGTTTATACATATTTAGCTTTGAGTCATTACATATTATAATAGTATGATAAGTAAAAATTATATCAAAATATTAAATAACACTTTGACTAATAGAGAAAATATTAATATTGAGAAAAATATTAGCTTGTTGTTATTTTAGATAATGGTATTATCTGTAATAATGGTTACTAGTATGGTTCCGATAACTACAGATTTAATAAGGGTCTCGAGAACTTTTTATTAGCTAGATTAAGTAGAGGAATAGGGTTGAGTGTTTGATTATTTTCATGCTAAAGGATCCTTAGTCTTATTTTTATGGTGCATTAGTAATATTTTTGATGAAAAATTACGATTATTGTTAAAGAGAGAGAAATGAGTTATTTGTAAAGTTCGGATGACAGTATTGATTCAATATAAATTAAAAACTATAATAATGACATTAAAATTTATTTCAAGTGTTGTAATAAATAAAAATATTAATCTATGCAGTAAAAAAGTTCTTATTGTGGCTACTAATTCATTTATATGAGATTGACTACTTATAAAAATTTAGAAATAGAGATATTATTACCTTAGAAACCTTGAAGCTCAAAAGTAGAATTGAAATTTGAGATTTTAAAATATTTCTCTAATGATTTTAACCGATGAATTTCATATTTCGAATGACTATATGAGGTCTACAAATCTAAGTAAAAAGTTCTATGTTGAGAGAAAAAAAATTTAAGAAAAAAATTTATGATCTATATTAAACAACTTAAAGAAGGCTTGATTATTGACCTATTATAAGCAGAGTTCATCCTTGAGGTGATAATTTTTGTCAATATTATGTCGGTGTCATTAGTAACCCCATAAAATTTTGATAATTTGAAAGATCATAACCTTGATTTTTTTAAGTAATTTTTGAAAGTTTACAAAGGAAGTATGACAACTATGGGAAAGAGATAGAGAGCCAAAGAAGGCCAGAGTATAAGAATAATTTCGTTATTTTTTATTCTAGATTAGAAAAATAATATCATTAATCAAGAATCCAAAGTATCATGCCTTAATAGAGTGTTGTGAGATCAGGAGCCTCTAACAACCAATTATTTTTTTAAAAATACCATTACTTCTCTAAAAAGAGTATGTGTAACATGGTTGTTAGCACTAGAAGTCCATGAAAAAGTAAAGAATCTAAAACATGAAGATAACTACAAGATATCTTCCACTAGTAAACCTACCTTCAAGTTATCATGCGTCAAATACCGGAAAAACTTAAAAACCACTTGGACTCTGCCTTTAAAAATAACCTTCATCAATCCTCTTGATCGAGTAATCTCTAGACTGAATTGCGACACAAGTAATTCAGCAGCTTCTGCCTTGAATGGCATAAGTCCTTTGGAAATAAATCCACATGTCTCCTCCAATTGTGACAAACAATCCCCATACCCATAAGCCCATTCGAAGCCACTAAAGCATCATAATTAATTTTTATCCATCCTTTTAGTGGAGGGCATTATCTCCGATTATTAGTATGTCTTGCCACTATTATATTCACACATTGGTTGCTCGGCACTAGATATTTAGTCTTTCTAATTCTAATATTAGTTTTGTAACTTCCTAACTAGCTTTGAACGAAGACCACCAACTTTACTTAAATTTTTATTAGTTTATAACCTACTGAATATTGCATATAATCCACAATAACTACATCAGTTGTTGCATATTACCTTCCAATATATTGATTTTCTGCTATTCCATAAAGTTTAATCTACTATAATGCATCTCATGTAATATTCTCCATGTTAGAGCAACAAAATTGTACATGAAGAGGTGGTCTATAGTTTATTCTTCCTTCCACATATAAATTTTAAATAATTGATTGGATTTTTTAGTCTTTGAGATAATTCGTTTAATCTATTATTTAAGGTAAATAGAATATTCTGTTAATGGTAGGATTTACTTCCACCTTATAATTAATGATAAGATTTTACTTCCACCTCAACTAAGGG